TAAAAAGGAGTTCCCCCCCCCCCCCCCCCTTTTTTTCCCGGGGGGGAGGCCCCCCCCGCGGCCCTTTCCCGGGTTTCGTTTTGGTGGGGAGGAGATTTTTAAAAAAAGTTCCCCCCCCCCCCTTTTTTTCCCCTTCGGGGGCCCCCCCCCCGGTGGGGGTTCATTCAGAGGAGGGGGGGGGCACCCTGGAAGGGGGGGCCCCCAAAGGGTTTGGGTGTTAGTCAGGGGAAATTTGGGGGGCACCCGGGGTTTTTTCAGGGTTGTTTTTTGGGGGACGGAGCCCCACTACTTCGGTGGGGTCAAGCCCAAGGGGGGGCAGCGGCCCATTTTTTTCCGGGGGAGGGGGGGGGGTGGAGGGGGGGGTTCCTTGCCTCTCTCGAGTCACTGTCGTTGAATGCCCGTGAATGTAGCGGCACAAGTTTTTTTTCATGGCACCATAGTTTTTTACCTGTCCATGTTGTTCCAGGCCAGTTGGGGGGGGTTGTATGCTGCTGTGCCTTTTTCGAGTCACTGTCGTTTAACGCCCGTGTAGCGACACTAGGTATTTTTCAGGCAGCACACTTGTAGTTTTTGCTTGGCCATGTCTTTCCAGGCAAGTGGGGGTGGTGGTGGGGGTTGTATCCTTTGCCATTTTCGAATTACTGTCGTTGAACGCCCGTGTAACGGCACAAGGTTTATTTCATGGCACCATAGTATTCTAGCTGCCATTGCCCTTGCAGACGCGTGTTGTGTCGGGGGGTTCCTTGCCTTCTTCGAGTTTCAGTACTGTCGTGTCGTTTCACGCCTGTAGCGACGCAAGGCTAAGGTTCATTACAAGGTCAACTATCATGTTTTATAGCTGCGCGTGTCTTCCCGGGCGAAGGGAAGGGAAGGAACCGTTCCTTGCGGTTTTTCTGTTATGCTTTGCTGCATTCGTATGTCTGCTTCATTTGCGTTGATTCGCGATGTGTTGGTTATGTGCGTGTATTGCGCATAGACCGGCACGGTTTTTGGGGTGAAGAAAGCCACACAGCAACGACAATATGTAGCCCGTAGGGGCTAACGTAAGACGAGCATTGGTCCACATCGCGGGAACCTCTACAACCGACATACACGATACTTGATTCCTCTCACCCTCTTAGTATTGTAACCGATTACCGTTTTTTCGGAACATGCTGGTGCTCTCGCCGACACTGACGCATGGCGTTACGAAAACAGGGCAGGCAGGCGCATCCTCCCATGCCCGCCCTCTCACCTTTTTACCGTGTTTTCGTTTTGTTGGTATGCTATTATAGTGCCCTCGCCCACACCGACACGGATCCCCAAAAACAGGGCAGGCACAGGGGGGGGGGGGGGGTCAGGGGAGACGAGCAGGAAAACAAGTCTGGAAAATTGAGTAGTAGGAACGATCGACCTTGTTGAAAGCGCTGTGGCACTACCCCCGCTTTCCTTCTTGTTAACCCATTGTCGTATGTATACGGTCGTGCTCTCACTGACGGCCACAGGGAGGATACATCCTGGAGCAGCTGAACTGGATGGGCATGGTGCAGATCGTCGAGATCCGGCAGCGAGGGTTCAGCGTGCGCTACCCGCATAACGAATTCGTGTGCAAGTACGGCCGCATCGTGGGCAGAGGGCCCGGCCAACCGGACTTCCAGGGTCCCGTGGAGGGGG